GGCCCTGAGATTTTAGCAGCCTCTCCGTACTCGTCCTACCCAAGGCTGCGAAATTGGAGGCTCTCTCGGATTCGAGGGAATGAGGCACGTTGCTATTAGTGTTGTTAGCTTTTTGATACCCATAGCTTGCTGGGCTCTGAACGTGGGGGCTGGGTATACTCACGAGTAGCTTGCCAGGCTCTCCCAAAGTGGACATGGAGCTTATTTGTTGGAGACGACTACTAATGGTCTCCCATATACTTTCCGGGCACTTGATTGCAAGGTTTTGGCCGAATTGACTCGTAGAATACAATCCGCATAAGCAAGAACGCACCCACACACGCATGGATGAGTACGCCCAGCAAATACAGAAAGTATGTGCGAAATCAGCGCAGTAGAAACAGGGAGTCCATCCCCTGGGTCCACCTGCATGTCAGGGAAGCAAAGGTCGCTTTTGTTTCGCAACTAACACTCTATCCGCCACTTGGGGACCATAAAAATCCCGACGGCGCTCATTTTCTAGTGGAGCAACCGATCTAGATTAAATTCACAATCCTGATGCTTTGTTGCGATTTCTAGATAATATGTAGGACTTGATTATGAATGTGACTGGTAGATGCGGACAAGAGGGTGAGTCGAAAGAACTAGAAGTGTTGAAGAGGCGAAGAGATTCGTAGGTGTCTCTTTTAAGATGGAAATCATCAGAGTACTATCGTTAAGGAATTATTCTACTTTCAGTGTTGTCAGGATAGGCAATATGGTTAGGTCCAAAGTAATAACAAGAGAAATTTGAAAAGTTATGTGCTATCTGCTTTGGCAGACAGTGGAATCCGTCGTAGATGGAGCAGATTGTGAAAGATCCCTCTCCTTGTTGAAATTTCTTTTTTATTATTATATTATCCGACATCACATGTGTCACACTGTGCCGATCGCAGCATTTGATTCGTTTCCTCCATCCACTATCCACTAATGTTTTCCATTTTTTTTGCATGAGGTCCTTGAGGATTTTTCGTCCTCTTCACGAATATAGTTAAGTGCTGGTGGAGCCGATTCTCCCTGGAATTTTGACATAGCCGCTCTTCGGCGTACCCACATGGATTGGACGGAATGAGGTTGTCCCGTCTCGAGGAGTCTGGCACCGGTTTCTTTAACTCGGATGTATGTATAGCTTACGAAAACTGGTTCTAACAGAATCTGCAGGTTTGCAAAAGAAGCCAATGTTGACGTATACCATGTTTTTATCTTGAAGAGAGAACGGACTTGCCTTCGGCCAGATTATCCCTCATAAGCGACAAGATTATGAGATGAAATTGTTAATTCGTATGAAGTGCTGAGATATCTGCACAACTCCGGACCACAGGTGTATGCAGTGGAGAACGAACACGCGCTGTTGTCCTTACCGGGGAGCAGCGCACTTCACCACTACACCATCCGGGTCCTTTGCTTTGCATGTCTCTCAGCTAGTTCTGTCTAAATTCTAGATATGTTTCTCTGGAATCCTGAGGTCAGCTTAGTCAAAGCTTGTCCCAGGTCATCACCACCAGGCAATCGCCGCCCTTGTGAATCAAAGGGAAATTCACCACGATGCGACTAGTTTGATATCAGGATGGTGGTAGATCCTAGTATTGGTTTACTCTTAGCTGGGTTTCCTGGGTTTCCTGATGGAAACGCCGGACTCCTTCTCAACATAGGAGACCCTGCCTGGTGGACGAATCCCCCCGCTGTACAGTCGAACACCCAAGAACAACTCCCAGCTACGTTGATTCGCTAAAGCGTTGGGAGGATTGTTAATGTTAGGCATTAAAAACGGTTGAATGCATGAGCATAGTATATGCCAACGGAGATACGTCAAGCGTTGGATGTATAGCTAAGTTGATAGTGATGGGACTGATTAGTGGTTTTTTAGATGAAGAAATACACCTGCATACTTTTGGTTTAGGAGTTTATCCTTTACTGAAAACTTGGTCAAGGAGATGCACTTTGTTGGAATGTTTATGATAAACTAGAAAGAACTTTCCACGCGGATCATACAGAAGAAGTAGAAGAGGCGCAATTGAAGGGTCAATGAATAAAAGCATCATTATTACGATGTTTCTGTGCAAACTGCGGCTACTTGAGCCACCTCAGAGTTGGTTGTTCTCGGCTGTTCCCGGACAAGTTTCTTATGAAAACAGCAGTTGGTTATGTCGTGTTTTATGCTTGCCAGGAAAGCCAGAAGGGTGGTGCTTTTCCAGTTCTTCTTAGTTCAGGTATACGCTGATTTTCCTTTGTGTTATCACTGAAAAGTGTTTGATGCAGCATAGAAAATCGACTATGACGTCTGTTGAAAATGGGGACTACTATACTGAAGATTCAATGGTACATAAATTTTCGTTAAAGTATCAGCATTACTACCACATTACCACGATAAGGGAAGAGGCAAGGTACAGTAGAAACGAAGGAACTACTTCCTCTTGAAAGAGGAACTCCTTCAATACGAGCATAGACCGCGAAAGGCGAGAGTTTGAATCCTACTAATAGGGAACATGAGCTGGATGTAGACGTATATACGACATGATAGTTTATGTCGTAGTATATGGCTTCGCCGGTACAGATAATCTCTGGTGGATGTTAAAGCCAGAGCACCTTGGTTTAAGGTGGAGGCGCAGAGGACATGTATACGACGTGGATGCTGGTAATGGTGTTGAATCCAGCAAAGCAGCCTCGGATTTTTCCGGGTTTTGCTTCAACAAGCCTATTTAAAAGTAAACCAGTACTAGGATCCACGACCATCCTGGTATCAAAGTCGCATGGTGGCAAATCTCTGATCCATAAGGGCTGCGACCGCCTGCGGTGGTGACAACCCGTGGCAGACCTTAGCCAGGTTGACCTCGGGATCCCAAGGAACCACAATGGCTGAGCCGGTAAGTTCCAAAAAGAGAGGAAAAAGTGGAGATTGTGCTGGCGTCTGCACAACTAATGAGGACGGGCTGTCAAGCATGCAAGTGTTCAACTACTACCATAATGATGCTGAGATACCAAAAAGGCGTGAGTTTTAGAGGTAGAGGTTGGTTATAGTTTTATTATGTGAAAAGTGCTTAGTACAAAGGTTGCGCGTTGTGGCGGTCGTAAAATAACGTCATCAGAATGTAACGTGTGTTTTTGGGCTGTAAAATTAATTTTAAACCCCGAATTTGCAAAATTAGTGAAAGGTTGTTTGAAAGAGTTCAGAATGAGCATTATATCTAACAACGACACGCGAGTGCCTCATAAGTAGTAATGGCAGTACGCGCAAGGCTTTGGTCCGACTCATTATCGGGCCAACCAATCCCCCACTGCTCACTTTTTGAGGTCCACGAAAGTTGAGTGACTATGTTGAAGACCTATGAGTGCCTTAGCACCCATATCCCCTTATCCAAGGAAGAATCGTCTCAGTTAACATTCAGCGACGTTCATAGGAAAGAACAGAATTCGCCAATCTACAGCCGAAGCCACACGCAAAAATTCGAAGGCCTTCCTAGAGTGTGAATGAAATAGACGTGGAAGCGAATCTAATGCATGAAGTACTGAGATCCGCGCAGAGTATTTGAAGTCGGGTAGCACTTTTGAGTTCTACACACACGTCAATACATGTCTGTTTGTTGTTGTGCAATACTATCATGGCAAGGCTTCTTTTTAATTCTCAGAGTCCTACACTTCATTTTTTGTCACGCATGCTGTGATTTTAAATAAACTCATGCCTGCTGATCCCTTTCCATGTGCGGGTTCAAAGATATGTAATGACCAAATGACTGTCATGGAATGCAGAGGCATCCACTAGATTGTTCGGAAATTAACGGAAGATTTATTTCATTTTTCTTGTATACGTTTTGGCAGTTATATTCTTTTGGATTTTGTACTATTATAGGTCGTCAGTTTACCGCCTCATCGTGGCTAGGTGTTTCTGGGTGTCGGACTGCGATGTACATCGGGGGGATTCGTACCCACGGCAGGGTCTCCAAACAGGAGTCCGGTGTTTCCATCAGGAAGCCTTGGTAAGAGTAAACCAATACAAGGATCCACCACCGTCCTGGTGTCAAAGTCGCATGGTGGCAAATCTCCCTCTGATCCACAAGGACTGCGACTCTGCCTGTCGCAGTGACGACCTGGGGCAGACTTTGGCCAGGCTGTCCGCGGGATTCAAGGGAGTCACAATGGCTTAACCAGCAAATCTTCGAAAAATGTTGATTATCCTGGGACCCGCGCAACTAGGGAGGACGGGCCGTTCAAGTATCAAGTACTATTATAGATCAATGCAAATCTTATTTTATCCACATCTGACAAATTTTAATGCCTGGAATTTTGATATCAATACAGCTGTTTTGACAAGTCTATCTTAACGAAGTCAACTCGGTCACATCGAAGGAGCTCGACTAATGGATGCCGTACGAGCTGAATGAAATCAAAATCTCCGTTTCGAAGTATCTTTAGAGTTACTCAACTTGCGAGCAGGAGGAATCAAGAACAATCGGCGTTGATCGGCTGAGTGGTTGAACCGTGATGAAGATTCGCAGTATTTAGCAAAGCCGAAATGGTACCGAAGGAAAGACATGCTGACCGCTAGCTGCGAGTTGCTAGTTTGCTTCGTCACAGGATCCTGAATCCGGTTGAAACAATTACGGTGGAGAAGTGCGTCCAGGAAATCAACAAAATGCATCACAAACTGTAACCCCAGCTTCGGGCATTGCTTCATCGACTAATAGAAAAAGTTTATTCTGGGCTGAAATATCCCACTTTATAGATAATTAAAGCCGTACATTAACTTCCGAACGGTATAAATAATAACCTTCGCTGTAGTTAAACCCTTCTCAGCTTCAAAAATCTACACGCTGACGAGGAAAGTTGTTCAAAATCCAGTTTTTATACTGTTATATGTAGAGAGTAGCTTTTCTAGACTGAGTCCTTTTTCGAACGTGAATGTTTTAAGAAAGTAGACCAGAAAAATAAGGCTGTTATCGGGATAATTTAATCCCTCCTGTAATGATCTTTTAGTTCCACTTTGAATGCTTGGAGTGGCGAACATACCAGCCAATCAGCATATCTGTGCACTTATACACGTACACCATACATTCAGGTTTGTTATTCAGGGTTTTTGATCCGAATGAAAAGAAACGCAAGAGGCCACGATCATATGCCGTTGTCGAATTGGCTCCTCGTACCTGCAAGTGTGAGGTGAGGTGTACTTTAGACTTTTTTTAACACGTATCGACTGTAGACGTTTCTAAACACATTTGCGACGATATTATACGATTCATTATACTGTTGTTGAGTAAACACAAGGTGTTATTTTATTCTCTGTTTACGAACAAGCTGACATTTCGGCGGGTTTCACCTTCCTCAGAGCCTCGAGGGGTCAAGTTGACTGGGCAAATTGTTCGGCCGGGTAGATTGCGGTGAAATTGACCTTCCCAGGATCTAAGGAAGGCGAAATCCGCTGAAACGCGAGTTTGTTTGTGTATAGGGAATAAAATAACACTTCATATTTGTCCAATGAAAATGTAAGGAATTATTTGGTCAATGCTGAGGCTAGTAGGAAGTCGGTCATAGGATGTTATATGAATTGGTTTCAATTTATTAATGAAGAGGAGACAGATTGACAGGTCGCAACTAATTTCCACTCATGCATAACTGCCACAAATTATTGCTCCATTCGAAAAAAATATCCCACTTCGGAATGAATTTTTAAATGAAATGCAAGCCATTAGAATCTACTTTCGAATAGAGGTCACCTATACTGTTGAAAATACGGACTTTTCAAAACTTTTAAATCGTACTTTTACCTTTTTTCTCGTCCACTGTCACACTTCAAAGAATCCAGCGACAGGATTTCCTCCAGCACAAAGTGACGGACCGTCTAAAGCATATCGTTAATGTTTGCGGTTGCTTTGCTTGTGTTGAAAAATTTTAGAAATCTAAATTCCATTTTCAATTCCTTCTAGGATTTTATTTTAGACAAATTTGAAATTGTAATGGATTTCTCGAAAACTTATGCATGGTGCTGAAGTGATAGAGCCTAATTTCTTCTACAACTGTTTCACGTTCTCAGCTGATCAAGTTCTTCAGTTATCGATGAATATGTGAAAGCTGAAGACAAATGGGCGTTGTCCCATTTTGTTGCCACCTAAAGTTAGTCGTCGTTGCAAATGTAGAGAAATGTTGTTTAATTTGTTTCCACAATTAGTTAACCTGGGTGTTCAGTTTAACTGGTTCAGGTCCTCCAAAGGATTCACGATCGCTTTCTGGGGGCTTTTCGTATAAGAAAAACAGACGGAACAAGTGTCTCACATGCGGAGATCTGCAACGATTTGGCGATCCGTACAACTGCTTTTATGCAGCAGCAAGCTCGACTGTTGGAAAAGGTTCTGTGATCTGATACTTTTTCAATCATTTGTAAGTTAATGCCGTATAAGGCCTGCCTTCCCACTAATTGTCGATTAGCTCTGGCGGGTAGTGTTAAATAACCACTGGTATTTTCTACGTGTCTGAGGTGGCGAGTAAGTCCCGGTGTAGATTTGTAAAAACCTCAGTGTCTTAGTATGAAGCTTTTATTTTCACTGTCTTTGGGAAGAAGTAGCCATGAGTAACTCAATGGCTTGAGGTAATGCATAGCTGGGCTTCGAAGTTGAAATGTTGGGGTAGTATTCAACTTGGAGACTCTAATGAATGGATGAACCTGATGAACCACCAACTCTACATTGCACATGTATTCGTATAGATACATAGTTTTTAAATTTTAGTTAGACCGGTTGGAGCGGTTATCGCAGGATATGCATCACCTGGTGGAGGAAGAGGCTTTGGCAGACATTCGTATACAATGCGTTGATGGTGCAACAGTGCTTTCGATTCTTCTTTTATTTAGAGAGATATATTCTTCCATATTGAATTTATTGGTTCTGCGTTTGTCGATTCTATATCGGGTTCTTTAATCGATTAAATGAGAAGTTGGCCTTTGTTCTTCAGTCTAATCGAATTTGATGGAGGGCTACTAAAGTATATCGAACAATTTGAAGATTACAATGTAGATAGATGTTCAGGTTCTGTAAACGGTCATCGATGTTTGTTACACGCACGAACTTCACTGATGTGCAAGCCCTCTCAAACTGCTTGTCAGAGTGTCGAAATTAACGAGAGTGAAAAAGTGAGTGGCGTTCTAGGTGATCGGGAACGTAATGGTGTGATCATGGTTTCAGAACTATTTGCATGGTACAATCTTAACAGTCTCTGTTTATCTTAACATATTTCGGGGTGTAGTCGTAGCGACATTGTTTCCTTGTCTAGCTGTTTCTTTACAATTTATATTACATATCTTTTTTAGGTTGTGAAATACTGGTTGCAATACGTTTATTCCGGAAGAGTAGAGTGGGAAAAGGACGATACTGTAAGAATTCAAAAGATTGCGGAACAATATGGCCCAGGTGAGCAGTTTTTCATCGTCATCCGCGCAAAAACTACCTGACGAAACATTGTAAAATTTGAAGAATACGATAGTGAAAATTTACGGCAATGTCTTAACACAGACGACTTGCTTCCACTTTGCACGAGGATGCTGACGAGTCCACATTTGGAACTAAAAACAGCAGTTTCTGCTATTTCGGCCACTGGCTCATCTTCAATTCCTGATTTCTATGGTACTAACAGAGGAATGGCTACCGGTACGACAGAGCGGGTCAATCAGGTTGCCACATTTTTTTCATTCTGTAATTTCTGTACAGTTCGTCTTTCCATATGGTTTTAAGAATGAGGTGATTATGTTGTAGAAGAAGTCGTTTGACTTGTTCTGTGGTATTGTTGTCGAGAACGAAAAGCCTAGTGGTTTTCTTTAGCCAACATCTGTACCTCAGTCGGACGTTGGCCAACACTCTTTGTCAACCGTTGTCATTCCTAATGAACTCGCATTAAAATTAACGTCTTCTTCAGCAGTAGATAAAGTAGATGTATGTGTTTTTCACTTCAAAAAATTGCTCATCGATGGAAAGGATGGATTGTTTAGTCAGACATTACAATGGATTATGAAGATCCTCTACAAGGCTTATCGCTAGTAGATACGAGTGAAGATCGGGAAACTAACAATCAGTCTGTTATCATAGGTATGAGTTGTATAACTACTTGATCGTGATTTATGCTATCATATGAAGCTCAAGGATAACGGGGTGTGTTTAAATAATCCTGTTAATAATCCATTGAATCTAGCTTAAGTAATCCTATTTGTAATCCAATGAATCTAGCGAGCACCACATAAGTTCTATATTCACCCATGTCATGTTGCCCATGCTTTGTTCTTTCTCAGTGATACCAGAGAAAATTGAACTTTCTCTATGAGGCTATTCATTCTTAATTTTTTTTTTTGAGTGATGACGAAGTTCATTGTTTTGTTCTCACGAAATGTCCCCGATGAGTCTTAGTGTTGAATACTGAATCGCATTCCATGCCTTTCGTATCCGCTTTGCTCCAGTGTGTCGTCCGAATCCGAATGGGGAGCAATCAGCATGCAGAAAAGCACTCCCAAGCATGCGTATTTGCTTTAACTTTAAAGTTAACTTATATTACTCGACATCTGTAGTGCAACGACGTGCTCGAAATGGAGATCCACATATACATATATAAAATATATATGTATATATACGTATGTATATATACATGTATATATGTATATTTGTACATTTTGTACATATACATGTATATATGTACGTATATATATGTGTGGCGCGGATTGCACCGCTGTAGTGATGCCGGTCATCGCGAGCACGGTGCTGGTTCGGTCCCGCACCAGAATCACCAAACCTCTCTTCCCTCCGAGGTCGGGAAAATTGGTACCGGGCTTGTACGGGAAAAAATAATTATCCAACTGAGAATGCTTCAGTCTGGCTATCTCAGGACTTCAGGAAGAATCGATTACACGAGGATTCTACGACATTCAAGTGGACCTTCCTAAACCACACATGAAAGTTGGAAGACCTTCGTGGATGATGCATGCGAGGAAACGCATCGAATGTGAGGAGTGCTAAAATCCGTACTATAGACGTGGAGACGGCTCGTATAAAATGAAAATAGGAAATATATATACATATATATATGTATATATATAATATAATGTGGCGTATTTTCAAATGTTGTACATATCAATGTGCTTCTTCTATTTGGTTCGTTGCCCTGCATTAGTCATCCGTGAAGGTGTTCAGATTTGCATGTGAATTCATCTGCAACTTTGGGATTTTATATTCTTCATGAATGTTGTTGAATGCTGGTTGAGTATGTTTTCTACGGAATTCCGGGATTATCCTGTGAGAGCGACTTCACCACTACTAGTCCGTGGGTTTATGAATCGGAGGAAATCTTCCTGAGACAATTCTGGTACCACTAGCTGTCTTCAAAGTGGTAGTGCTTAACCCTTTTATTTACTGCCTTTTTCTTTTTAATGGCAGGGTATGTTGCGAAATATAATTCGTATATAATACTGAGATATTTGCAAAACTCCGGACTGCATACAACTGCGGTCCGGAGTTTTGCAAATGTCTCAGCATTGTATACGAGTTTCATATCTGTTACGGCTGTACCAAATTCTCGGTTCTTTCTTAACTTTTAATTTAAGCGAAAGGAGGTGAAGATAAACAGCCCCATATAAAGAGAGCAATGTTGTTTATGTCCATCGTGCGCACATAATTTAGACAGGCAAAACGAAGGACCTTCATGGTGTGATGGTGAACGCGTGAGCCATCGGAAAAAGTAGTATTGTGCTCCTTCGCCACCACAGACATCTGCGGTCCGGAGTTCTGCAAATATCTCAGCATAATTATGATTGTATTGCACATTATTTAATTATACTATGCAGATAATAACGATGGATGTAGTCGTGGTGCTGCTGGAGAGGTTCACGTATTGGAATCCTGCTCGAGTGAATATCACGATGATGTCATTGACTTAACTTCGCCGGAGAGAGGGGTTAGTTGTCGGAGGCTTTTTATCATTTTGTTTTTTCTTTTACTGTGAAATCGTATTTATCTTTACACTTACACTTACCACGACTTTAACGCGAACAGTGACGATCACTAGATATTCGTCAATTGTCGACAAGTCGACCAATAACTGCATCCATCGCAGCCGCCACTACATCACTACTTTTCCGATGTTTCTACTTATTTTGACTTTATGACATGTCTATATGCACCAGAAACCTCTGCATTTCGAGAAGATCTTTACTACTCAGTTTGTCCAAATATTTGAAGTTTCGACGGGTTTCTACAACGTGAAAGCATCGATTAGAGCGGTCATTAATTATACGAAATCTTATAGCTGTTTTTCTTTTTCCTAATATTTTGTGAACGTTTGCAGAAATATCGTTAGAATTATCACCAATTCATTAGGAACACTTCACCTACTTTTTAGGTGACATCTCAAAGTGCTACTCAAAGTTACATGGAAATTACACTCTTTGACATAGCTATGACAGACCATTCGGAAGCTCCTACGGATGGCAACAGTCCAGATATTTTCGAGGACAAAAGCAAAGACAGTTGTGCGGCTGGTAAGGTGCTGGAATATCTATGTGATATATCTGTGTGGAATATAAGCACCGTTTCATTTCTGTTGTATAATGCACTGGAAACTGCACCTGTAACTGCAACTGTTCCTTATAGTTACAGTTTCAAAACCGACTTGGAATTTTACTCCACAGCGAAGATCTTCAAGCCTTTGCAAAGTTTCGTCTTCTTCGCGGCTTTCCATAAGCAATCGATTAAGGTTTCCTTTCTTATCCATTTGGTTTTCGTAGTTATCTTCTTACTGCCTTATTCAGCTCATCGGCGCTGCACAATGTAGCAGTCCTACGAAACGGAGAACATGAGCAGGAACTCAACAAGGTTTCAGAAGCTTCCTTCAAACCGCTGATAACGAATCACTCGGAAAGTAGTAAAATAGATGCTTGTGATGCTGAAGTTGTTTGTTTGGACGAGGTAGCGGAGCAGGATAGGAAATCTACGTTTAAGGATCCGTATGAAAGTGAATACTTCAACTACTACGATTCTTTTGTGGAACAGTGGTACGAGCCTGTGGATGATTCTGGTGGGTTTTGGCCTTGCTTGTGACAAAAAGGTTGAAAATCAGCACTCATGCATTGAAAAAATTAAGCAGGTTCAATGCGTTTTCGGACGTATGTTAGTTTTTTTTTTTGAATAAAGTGTAGAAAGTCCTACATTCACACAGTATATGTTTGCAATAGTTTCTATGCTTTGATTGTTCATATTAAGCTGAAAATGCTTTTTCAAATTTTTCAAAAACTATTCATAGCTCTTGGTTTTTGGTCGTTATCGTTCTATGATGTCTGAAAAAATCGGTTTTTAACTCTGAAATTCAGTTACACGTGTATTATCTCATACTAAATAAGGATAAGGGATAACGCTTTCGGCGTTGATCAATCTCTGAGTGATGCGCCATGCATTCGACTTAATTAAGCATCGTTGGAGGTGGTTAAATGTATATCTACCCTTTCCAATGACTCGTGGTGGCCTACCGATGTATGGAGCAAGTGTTGCTGTCCTCCCAGACAAATCTGGTACTAATTTGCCGAACCCGGAGGGATGGAATGCTTGGTGGGCCATGGGTACGGGGATCGATTACACATGTGTGCTTCAGTGGCGCCTCCAACCACTGCGCTACATGCGCCCCAGTAAATGGGAGGTATAGAGGAAAACCTCACTAATAACCTCCATTTACGCGAATGAGTTACACATAAGAGCACAGAGTTTAGTGGTGTCTGTGTTCTTCTCAGTATTAAAAAAGATTTGAAAGTTAGCCTACACTGAAAATGTTAAAGCTGTGAAAACTAACATTCTGTCTATGTAGTGTAAATTAAAAATTGCCATTTATTTGATATTTCAGCGTCAAATCAAGTTAATTATGAACTCAAAATGCCACATGAGTCATTCAGGGAAGGAAATCAGCAATGTATAACTGAAGCCACAACCGATAGTGCATCGGTGTGTCTTTGCAAGCTCATTTTAATCTTCAACATAATGTCTTAACTGTTGTGTTCTTTTGTAGTATACTGCAATCTTATTAGAAGAAAGAATCTTCGAATTTTTATATGACATTGGTTCCTTGTGTATATTGATTGACAAGTTTAAGTGGTGAAAGGCTTCGTATACACAAGTAACTTGAGCACTCTGATGACTCACATTCACGAATCACGAAGAATCATTAAGATTTCAGTACAGTTTTCATTTTACTGGTAACTTACAGCTGGGAAATATTTCCATTACTCGTAGTCTGAAGATAGCCGCATTAGGCCTTTTCCGTTTCTTCAATTAGGTGACATCTTGTAATTCACAATGATATGGAATTTAGACTGGGAGCTCTACAAAATCGCTCATCGCTTCACCTTCGGAGCAGGTCGGGTCTGTGGTAAATCGTAACGTAGGACGGTTTCCGGTTTGTGTCACGTATTTTCAGAAAGATTTTGTTTACATAACAATTATTTCTTCCAAACTTTAACATCCCTAAGTTTAACTACAGAAACTATATATCGCTATCAGAAACCGGGAAGGGATTTTCCTGTTGTCATGAAAGTTCTCCATTGCCGCATAGAAACGACCTACGTACAGCATTCTATCTAATTACTTTGTTTACCTCGAATATGATGAAACTACCCTTTGAGAGGTCTTATCAAAAGCTTGAGATACTTGTTTAGTTATAAAATGTATCTAAGAATTTCAGATTGGTGTTTCTTCGCAAGACTCATTCTTCGACACTTCAAAATTTATCGCTAGCGCAAAGCCGGATCTTGTGGTGGTTGTTCCACTTCGTTTTGTTTTGTTTTTTGGCAAGGTTATTTCGCTATTGTTGCAATATGTATTTTTTAGAACCCCAGTTCGTTCGCAGAAAACAATCATTCTGTGGATTTGGCACCTCCTGCTGCTCACTCAACACCTCACCAGCCTACAAGAAAGAAACCGAGGTGAGTTTGAACTTATGTTGCGATTATCAGCTTTCCTCGTAAGCTTATATGCTTCTGCTCCTGAAACGCTATTATATCTTCAGATTTGGGTCAAATGTAAAGATCCTCAAGACGACCGATATTACACCTATGCCAGACTATGATAGCATGAATGATGAGTGCTTGAAAGTATGCGAATTCTTCGGAAATGCTGCGTTCCTCATATTTTGTTTATCTTATTATAGAAGTTGTTACAGAACGAGTTAAGAAAGTTCGGACTGAAACCAATGGGTAGGAAGCGATCAATAGCTATTTTGAAAAAGATCTACGCGGAGATACATCCAGGTGCGAGCAGTTAGCATTGCTGTAGTTGAATAACTTCTAAAATTATTGATTTTAGAAATTGATCCATCCACACCAACTATACGACCATTAGTTGTGGATGATATTGAAGATCATGAACAACAAGCACCTAAATGCAAATCTACAAAGTCACGTACTAGGGGGCAGGCTATTAGAACACTACCGGAAGCAATGAGAATAGCTGATCTCCCACCTGCTGTGTCTAAGGATGCTCAAATAGAAAGTATGGAGGAGAACGAAGATGGTGATTTGCGCAATAATTATCCAAGAGTTTATGGCTATCTACAGAACAGATTTTCCATCTATGAATTTACCAGATTTATGTTGGACACTCTTTCGCTTACCATCGTTTTTTTCTGTCTTATTTTCTAATTTTATGAAATTTTATACTATATATGAAAACTGTGAACGTTTTTAGAGTCTGGGTTGAGCATGTTGTTTCGTTGTACGTTTTAAAAGTGGCTTATTATCATAACACCACAAAACTAAATCTAATTCTTTGTTTTTATTATTTTTGTTATGTTGACTTATTATCTTTTTCAAAGCCGACTATAATTTCAGAGGATTTTATTGATCTTGGTGATAAGACGTTGAACGATCCAACTGATGAACCACCCGAAGAGAGTATAATCGACGATGGACTTCTACCGAAGGTTAGTTGAAGTATATAGTGTCATTCTCCTAGAGATGCCCAGCACATAGGGTTCGAAATGAGTCGAGTTCCACTGACATGTGAGGTGGGAAGTGTACCGAAGCAATCTCGTGTCAGGTGGTTATTTCCTGTCGTCTATTTTGTTGTATGGAATATTTTCAATATGGTTTTTATATTTGGTTGATAATATATTGAGCACGTGTACCAAGTGCCGCCTTCGAAGAGCTAAGCATGCGTTCAAATGCAAAATAAAGTTTTCCGGACAAGTTTATTTGCCAAGGCACCGCTATTGTTCCTATCGAGGAGGATTTGTTGATAGCCAGAGTAATACAGATAAAGAAAATACCAAAGACCATCTGTGTTCCGTGGCGAATAATTGTGTTTTGCACTCAAAAGATGATACACAGACTGTTAATAATGAGAATACTAGATGTGACTCGTATTTCGGGAGCCAGAAGATTAAGTATGGCGTCAGTGTATTGGCTGATACGAGAAGATACCACTAACTTGACGTCTTTTATGATACCCGAAAGGAACTGTTTCGCGGAACATGTGACATAGAGGAGTTGATGGTGTTGGCGTCCTTTTCAAAACGAATTTGGTTATGACTATCGATTCCTTTGGAAAACAAATAAACTGGATCGGACACTTACCTTTGAATAGATGTGAAAAATACCGACTTTAGCAGTCCTTGCTTACTCCCATCCATTTCTCCTGAAGCTCTGACAGAGGGTGTGATGATGCGCTTTATACAGGATTAAACAAGTGCTGCGAATAAGATCGTACTTTGTGATGTCATCATTGACGACTTTAACGCTAAAATCGGACACACGTGAAGGTTTTACGGACCTCATTTTGAGGTTCACGGTTAGGATGAAGTAAGCAAGATGGGTGGCTCTCTGAGTTGGTCATAGTGAACGAGACCACTTCGGATAACTCATGATTTCAGAAACCGTTTCTCCAACATTGCACGTTAACATATCTGAATGATCTCTCAATAACGTAGCGAACTCGACCGTAGCAAATCGCAGATTCGTTTGACCGATGTCGCTTTTTTTTTCAAGATTTTACATAAGGTCTAACCATGATGTTCTTCGCGTGAGATTTTTCTTTTTAGCAAAAAGGGGAACTTTAACGATATTTTTTTGGATTATTCAACTTATCCGAGGTCGTTTACAAAAACTCTTTATTCAGCTAACATTTCAACTTGTTCGTTTTCTTCGGGATCCATTGATCCGAGTCGATCGTTGATAGTCACTCGTCTTCGCGGTGTGGGTCTTAGTGGAATAGAATGTTTTTAAGTGAAGCACCACTTAAATTACTCAAGGGGATTCATTGAGGTATCGCGAGAGTACATAAGACCGCTATATCTTATTTTCGTCAACCTTCGACTCAATTAAGATAGAAGAGATTGTGTAACCTTTGAATAGTCAGGACTTCTCTACTAAGTGTGCAAAGATTCTTCGTGATCCATATTCCAACTTTACAACCATACTATCACTTCAATGATGTTGAGATATCTATAGAACTAGCTGAGAGACAGGCGAAACGAAGGACCCACATGGTGTGGTGGTGAACGCGTTACTCTCGGAAAGGACAATAGCGCGTTCGCTCCTCACCGCAGACACCTGCGGTCCGGAGTTTTGTAAATATCTCAACATCATTGTGGTTGTATCATAGATAATATCTTTCCGTGAAAATCTGTTTGAGTAAAGAAAGTTAACATCTTTGCTTATAATTTAACACCTGTAATAATTTCTGAACGGTTACAAAGACGAACTTATTTAAACTAGTCCTTGTTATAGTGTTCCATTTTATTGTTATGTAGTCTGTTGTTTTCTTTTCAATGTAGTGTTTTTGACGTATATTTTAGGACTTAGAGAGCATGACACGAACGTTCCTCAATTGGTTACAAAGTCCTGAGAATGAGGAATTATACAACCATCTGCTTTCGTTGCAACCTGTGCTCTTAGTATGTTTCTAATTCTCCATTTAGGTTGGCAATGTTTAATACTGACTAGATGAATTTGAAGAAGGTATAAGTTTTTTGTTTTGTTATTTATAAGTTTTTTATTAGTAAAAGATCGATAGTACTAGCTGAGAGGCAGGCAAAACGAAGGACCCGGTTGGTGTAGTGGTGAAGTGCGCTACTCCCCGGTAAGGACAATAGCGTGTTCGTTCCCCACCGCATACACTTGCGGTCCGGAGTTTTGCAAATATCTCAGCAATATATAGGAGTTATATTTCGAAACATACCCTGCTATTAAAAAGAAAAAGGCACTAAATAAAAGGGTTAAGATTATAAGTTTTTTGCTATAACTGTATGAAGGCATTATTTCTGAATGAGGTAGTACTTACTTGGATACTCGGATGGCCCTCTTCACTAGTTGTGCAGGCCCATGGCCAATTTCCATTCGTTTCTTTTCCCGCAGTAGTTGTTATGGTGGTGGTCTGCTTCGAACAAAGTGGCGTCGGCGAGGTCCATTCCGTAATTCTGAAATCGTTGCACTCTTTGAGTGCAGATGGTTGACGTTAGCCATGAACACGTCTGTCGTTTGGGGGTCTTTCATGAGTAAGCTTGCATTCTCATGGAATCCACTCCAATGTTCTTTTCGTCTATCTATCTGTTTTTCTTATTATGTGACCGACTCATCTGTTGTTCGCAGTTGAAGTATATTTTCTTGGTTCACGAAGATGGAATAGATTAAGATCTGAGGTGCGCATTCCAGTTAGACGTTATGCGTTCTGGTTGAATTTTAGAAAATATCGTTCGAGCGCTCTGTTAGTAGTGCATAGTATTCTTGAGTTGTTGGGGTTTCAGCTCTTGTCTCTTCTGCGTATGAGATTTTCGTGTCCTTTAGTTGATTGATGGTTTCTTCTAGACGCTCGGGTGCGGCCGAAGCTACTCTCCTTATCCCGTCTAACTCCTTCTTCATGTTGTTCTTCGTGTTCATTGAATGTCCAATGTACGCGTGCGAGGTTGTTGCTGTAATCATAGAACCATCCAGTTCGATTTGTGCACCTTCGCACCATGAGTTCTTCACGAACTGGGTTTTCGTCCTATTTTGCGCAGTCCAATCTGTTTTCCCGCTTCTCTGCGTTCTTTGAGCATCGTCTCTCATAGGTACTCCTCGAAAAGATAACGAAATTCTCTGCGGAACGGAAATTTGGTAGGGAAATACATATGCCCTTCTCGTCTTAATGAATGACTTCGTTATCCACTGCAGAGCGACAGTAAACATTTTTGGCGATATTGTTTCGCCTTTTCGAACACTTTCTCTTGTAGTGATGAGGAGGGATGATGAAAAACCTGTATATTTGTGCTGCAGTTGCGATAACAAACAGCTAGTCTTCGTACGTAGGACGGGATCCATTTCTTGAGCGACGAACGCTGATCGGAATGCATTCGTTTCGACACTGTTAAGCGCTTTTTCGTACTCGATAAAGGTTACAACAAGCAGCAGATTGGTACTTCCGGCCGACCTGTGATACGGTTTAGATGTGATCCGTTAAACAAAATCCTTGTTGGAATGGTGCTTGCTCAACTGGTTATGCCTCATCCAAGTTCTTCGGCTTGCGCAAAAAGATATTCTTCGAGAACAGTTTTTGGAAAACACTTAAGCATATTGGAATGTAGATACGGAAATCCCTTCGGTCACTTTTCTTGTTTGTGCTGACCTTCTGTAGATTGTCGATTCCAGATCTGAGGAAGTTGGTGGTGATGTTATCAGGTTATCATATTATTGTGGCAAAATTTTGTGATGGTTTCATCTTCGTTCTGCAAGGCTGATAGTGGAACATTATTGTCGGGAAGATCCCGACGGCACTTCTACAAACTTTGGTCGTTTTTAAGCCGCTTTCAATAACTTTTTCTGCGTGTACCGATGTAAATCCTCCTGCAAAGGTCTTCTACAGCTGGCATTTATTATCAGCGTTGTTAGGTGTGTTGCACTTGGATCAAGCTTCAGTGTCCTCTTTTCGAGCAATTCCTTAGTGGCAGTGAGGATTCGGTCTGAACTTCTTGTTTAATTGTTTAAGGAACTGAGGAGAGTTCGGCGCAGGTTTTAAGTTCTTCTACAAGCAGCGTATAGTCCTCGATCGGGTCTTCATTTTTCTGCCAGTAATTTGAGGAGAAGGTTTTATAGAGAATATCTTCGTCATACACGAATTGTTTCGTATTTCTTGGTCGACAACAGTTCTTTTCCAGCTCGTGGCTGAATTGAATCTTCATATGGAGAAGACGGTGATCAAATCCACTACAGAATCCACGTATCACTGGGGTATGAAGGAGGAACTATTTTCTGTCGGCGAGAATATGATCGGTTTCCGCGTAAGTGGTGCCAATTGGTGACTCTCATTTCCATCGGCCATCTTCTCCGTTGTTGAAAAAATTCCTTGAATTCCCATAGAAGTGACGGGCTGCGGACAAGAGTCCTACGATACGGTTTCCTTTCTTATTTCGTTCCCCTACTCTTAATTTTCTTATCTCGTGTTCATTGTCGTTGGATGTTCGCAATCTGGCATTGAATTTGTAGAACTTCTCGTGGATTACTTCCTCCAAATGGTTATGGAACGCGTATAGTTCGCTCTCATGAGCTGTACGAGTTGGTGAGTAACAGCTGATGATGCCGACTTTCTTGTAACGCGCAAGTTGGAGACAAAGAAAGGCCAACTGGGATGACAGCATTTGGAATGAGGTGACTAGATGGGAAAAATGTGGGTCCGCGAAGCAGCCAACGCCGCCGATATTTCGTAATGGAAATTTCCCTACGCGAATGGCAAGGGTTTCATCACCTAATTGGCGGATATCAGTATTCTGGCTTTTCGTCTGTTGTAGGGGATCACTCGAAATTTTATGGGACTATCAACCTTAACATACATGATCGTAGAGGTAGGTATCTGAAGAAACCTTTCTGCGCTTATAGGTGCTCAAAGAAGCAGTCTCCATAGCGTGTGGTCAGCGTGTTTGTTTTGTCTTTTTCCAAAGACGTCCTGTTAAACTCGACGTTTGATCGCCTCACACCGGTTGTCTCACCTCTCTACGTCGTAGGAGGCAGCTCCAAGTGTGCTGGGCACTAAGGTCCAAATGTTCGTTTAGCCATTGTGGTTCCCTGCGGTTTTGAAATCAGCCTAGCTGAAGCCTTCCTTAGGTCATCACCGCCCTAGGCAGTCGCCATTCTTGTGGGATCGGAGGGAGATTTGCCACCATGCGACTGGTTTGATAGCACGACGGCGGTGATTCTTGGTATTGGTTTGCTCCTCGATGGACTTCCGGATGGACACATCGTACTCCTCATCTTAGGAGGCCCTGCTGTGAGGTTGAACCCCATCATGGCCCGAAACCCAAGAACACATCCCATCCACGACGAGGCAGCAAACCATTGACATCGATTATGTGGTTGAGTTATTAAATTGACTATCCATAGATCTAGCTGTCAAGATCACATGTCTCTTGAAGCAATAGTGATTTTAAATGGTTATCGAGGAAAGATAAGGCATGTTCTCGCATTACTCATTGTGACGACTTCCGAAATATTTAAATGTCTAGGACTGCTATAGTAATCTTTGTTATAAATATGCAATATGTTATATACCAAAGCATGCGAGTTGGACGAGTTTATTTTTAGGACGAGCTACACTTACGCATGTCCAGGGCCGATACGGCTGTGTGTTGTATTCCAAAAAAGAGTTTGGCGAATATATTAGATCACCTTGGTGTCACATTCTCATTGTCACAAATCAACGGAGGTCGTCGGATGACCGCTCCAAGAAAGGCTGTACTTAGAAAATGAATGGTTAACTAGTTTTTGTTGCATCATATTGCAACATTCCTTATCCTTTTTCACCAACGTTAAGTACTGCCTGTAAATATGTTCTAAACGTGCTAAAAATGTGACTCACCGTTTTTTCTACCATTTCTCCCTTCTTCTGTCTTTTTGTAACTGCTTGTGAAAATCAGCGCTAATTATCAGATATTATCATAAATGAGTCTTTCGTTGACTTTCAAGAGGCTTTCATATTTATTTGCGTTAGTCACTCATTTAGGTATATGCATATCTGCCGCGGTAGAGTAAAGATCGGGTTGGTTTGTGTCTAGATAATAGGGCTAGATAATAAAATAAAAAACGGGTGAGGTAATAAAAAAGGTTAGAGACATTGACTAGGCTGATTGCAGAGTCAAACACTGTTGCAACGGATGTATTTAGTGCTATGCCAAAAACTATCTTTTAGCGCCGATCTTCACGTTTTCATTGAAGTTGCAGACCACATGTTGAGCTTCGATTGGTTGCCTGGCAAAGAATGAAAGTTTTTAATTTGTAGGATTCATTTGTTGCTAGAACTTCATGTAATTAATACAGATGAGAACATTCTATAAGGATGTTCCGCAATGGTTGGGGATGCCCCCAATACACACGTGGTTCTTTCCAACACACGCGTGCTTGTCCATTTGATCCAAAACCCGGGTTCAACAAGTTTTCCGCCCTCTCCGGGGTTGGTAAAATGGTACTAGACTGGCCTTTAACACTCTCGCTGCGATTGGCACCTATAGATGCTATGGTAGTTTGTTTTAGCAAGTAGAACTACTTTCAGGTACTTCTATTATCAGTTTGTTGCTTGTATAACACAGATGTTGCTTTGGACCTTGGTCGGGGAAGACCCGACCTATTTTGCATCTAGATACCTACAAAAAACTACTTTACGAACGAAGTCACATGGAATTTGGGTACCAGTCAACCGCTGTGTCAATTTCGCTTGCAATAGTGAATGATAGTTATCGCATAGAATGTACGGCTATGAAAAATATTGAAATGGAAGCCCACAAGTTGCAAAACACTTCGATGTGCTGAAAGTAATGTGTTTGCATGATGGACCATAGCAACATACAGTAAATAGAACCATGAATACCGTTCATACCTATAGAACGATAGAAAAACTCGTTTCTAGAATCCGTTCATGTTCGCAATCCACGAGTTCTTTTAGTTATGGAAAGGTTATCTTTTATTTTCATAAACCAACAAGTCTACTAAGGCTGAAAATTAGGTGTCGTCCAGTGTGCAGAGAACCCGGGATTAGGCATCATCGCTGAGGTGGTTAGAGATAGAAGCACTGAGATTTACATCGGTAGGTCAACGCAAAGTCCTTCTGTAGCCAGGTATGCATTTAATCACTTCCAACGATGTTTGGTAAAATCAAATTCATCATATAACCCTCAGGGAGTGGTCAACGCGGAACGTTTTTTCTTTTATCCTTCATGGAAAGCTTTCATAACTGAACATTAGTGGCGTAGGTCTAGATTAATGGCACCCACGCGCTTGCTTTTCGTAGTACACGCACGCCGCCCTTTCCACTGGCTTATAGTGCCGTATAAATAATATCAGTGGTGAAAGAGGACTATTTGAAAAAGCGTGGTTTTAATATCATGTTTTCATTTACTGATATGGGATGACGGCTTCGGTTAGCCGGAAGAGAATACTGAACTGTGATGCTAACAAGCGATGCCCCTGATTTGTTTGAATAAATCTTTCCATGGCGTCGCGTGATGGTTCATGCCATCTAGAACTTACCTAAATCACTAAGACCTCAATAGTAGCGGAGTTAACGTTGAATATGGTTTAAAAACGTGTGGGCATTTATTCAAGCCCGAGTAAGACCCTTTTCAAACCTAAGTACCTCCAATTTTAAGAACATTTTATTAATTTTTCTTTTCATTTGTTGGAAATTCCATCGCGATCTTCTTCCACCAACATGGCTTGTTGCCTTGACTATGCTTTTTTTGATTTAAGATCCCCAGATTGTGATGTAAGAGTGCTATCAGGTCGTTGTAACACCGTAGGCATTCATCGTTCCCTGTGCTTTGAAATGGGACCGTTGAATGTAAGTTATCTTTTGACTGAAGAATCCCTCGCAGTTGACCACATTCTAGGATCCTTCTCTCAATTGAGTTATATCATTGGGAAAGGTTACAAACGATAGATGGGAGTATCCAGAATTTGTGGTTCCCAAATGTTTCGCACGATGGAAACCGTCAGAATCTATAAGAGGTTCATTTCTCGCTTTGTTGACAACATTCGATAGTTATTAGTCAAAGTTCCAAGTATGCCCACGAGCCTTCCATGATGGCGCTAGTAGGCTCCGGGTCAAAGTTGGTTTCCTGGAAACATAGGCTTCAGCCACGAAGTTGGCCTGTAGTGTCACACTTTTCTTTATCCATATGGGCAGAACAAAGAAATTTAATTGGAAGAATGACCAGCGAGTGTATTGGCGGCCACGTATGATAACTGAGAGGTGGAGAAATGCATCGAGTCACGGTAAATATCCTATAACTGCGCACTTAAGTTGCAGGTGTGCCAATTTTTTAAAAACTATCTCAAGATTTGACCCGCGTGGTGTGGTGGTGAACGCGCTACTCCCCGGGAAGGACAATAGCGCCTTCGTTCCCCACCGTATACATTTGCGGCCCGGAATTTTGCAAATATCTCAGCGTCATTGAAGTTATCTCAAAATTTTCTGAAAATGTAATTGTTCATGGCAAGCGCAGAACTAATAAGCGGGTGAGGCGCAGTGGTCGGAGACGCCCTTTAACACACATGTGGAATCGATCCCCGCGCCCATGGCCCGCCAAGCCTTCCACCCCTCCGAGGTCGGCAAATTGGTAGCAGACTTGTCTGGGAGGATAGCAGCACTGGCTCGATACATCGGTATGCTACCGCGAGTCATTGTAAAGGACAGGTATGCATTCAGTCACCTCCAACGATATTAAATGAAGTCGAATGCATGGCGCATTATTCAAGGATTGATCAACGTTGAAAGCTTTATCCTTAGCTTCAAGCGTTGGGTGAAAACATGATCATGTGGTGGTCTGACAAATTTGGCGGAGGTGTCGAATTGTCTGAGTACCAATCATACGGAAACTCATTTTGTGGCCGTCTGCTAAGAATACTAATGTTCTGTTTAAAGGCGAGCGAGTGTCAGTGAACAGCGAAATGTGCTCCAATTCTCCATTGCGATTTCTTATAGGGAAGAAAAATAAAGATGTTGTGCGAACTAAGATTTTTCTTTGAGATGGGATAGTTTTCAATATCGTTGCAGAGTCCTATTACCTTAATGGTGCGTCTCATTAATGGTGTCTTTAGATGGAATGACCGTACCGATCGTAAAAAGTGGAGTAAAATATGATAGCATTCATTTCACCTTACCTCACACAGCTCTCTAATTTGGGTGATAAACACATTTGAACCTATAAGAAAGCCGAAAAATCGATAGCGGGTTATTGAACATAGAGAATACTTCTCCATGTTTCCTAACCTGGGCTAATTCTGTCACATCACCCTCAGTTGGGAATGTTCACATAATCGTGGNCTCCTGTTCTCAAGGTAATGAAAATTTGCAAGATCCATGATTACTGGAGATAGTCCAAGAGCGAAAGCACGATAAGGTTCAGGTTTGTATTCTCTGAGTTTCGAGAGAAATTACCCAAAACGATACGTAATTACACAATTATAGCAGCGTGAAGTGAAGACGAAAGCAGTAACGGAACCCATCGACAGATTCTGCCAACTTCGTGGACAATAATTCGAATACAACGATTTTAATAGAACAACTGATTAAATCTGCAAAAGATAGGAAGTTCTGTGATTTCAAAAGCTAGAAACGCAGTCGGTTGTTGGTAAGCTTAGGCGAAATTTTATACTCCCATCTTCATTTATCCGCGACATAAACAGCCAGTTTCCTTTTATATTGATGACCTCACATGCTCAGATACTCGGACATTCGGATGACCCGTCTTCATAGGTTGTGCGGACCCCACCATAATTTTTATTCTCCGGAGATTTGCTGGATAAGACACTGCGGCTCGATTCCCTTGAGCCTCGAGGACAGTCTGGCCACAAAGTATGGCCCAGGTCGTCATCACCACAGGCAGTCGCCGCACTTGTGGATCAGAGCGAGATTTGCAACATGCAACTAGTTTGGTACTAGGATGCTGGTGGATAATGGTGATGGTTCACTCTTAGCTAAACGTTCAATGCCCGACACCTTCTCAGTTTGGGAAACTCTGCTGGGGGGTGGAGCGGAGGGGACGGGGGTGAATTCCTCCCAGCCACGATGCAGTGCACCGCTGGGAGGCTGCTCTCTAAACGTGCAGATGAAGACGATTTTATTGAAAACAGGAATTGGTGGTGACAAAGAAGTTTTGACATTTAAAGATTGAACGAGCGACGTAGTAGGAACAGACTTTATTAACTCTTCTACACAAAGCACAAACGTTAAAGTGAAGTCAAAGTACTTTGCGGAGGAATTTATAAAAGTAAACAGTTATATGATAAACCGGTACGCAAGCATGCAAGCAAAATATGATTGCCATATCATATTAGTGAGAGAAATGGCAGCAAAAATAAAGCGAGAGACTTCCCTTGAAGAAATAACAATTATAAAAATAAGAACATGCCAATGTTCCATTAAGTGCTGTGGAGACTAAGTTTGTCAAACTCTAACACAGGACTGTGCGAATTGGCATGTGGACCTCGAGCAGCAGCTCCACAGTGGCGACACTTGATGTGGGCCACCCACTCATGTGGAAGACTGAAATGACCACCACTGACACCGAAACTACACAACTCTCTCACAAATAACTGAATCTTCAAATATAATACCGAAAATAAAAGTCGTCTTTGTCAGCAATTAATTTTCCGGACAAGAACAAAACTCTGGTGATAAACGACAAGATTGAACAGATTGGCTTCGATCAGCTTTATCCAGCATATTTAGAAGTGTCTGAATCCATATCTGGCCTATACGGTGACTTGCAGTGGCCTATCGATGGATCAAAATAGTGCTTTCAAGCACTCAAATGTCTGGTGGTAAATGTCTGGCTGTCGGGTTAGAAGGAACGATCGGCGATCCTGCAGAGCGGGATTGAGCCGCAACCGAGAGGGTTCACTGCAGGGCAGCTCTAGCCACTGTGTTTCACACGACCGCTGCTATATGAAAATATTTAAGATAAGAGGACCTCTAACATAACCCCTTAATAAAGGAACCAGTATGTCTATGAAATATTTGAAAAATAGTGCACCTCCGATCAAACGCAATTAATAATTAGTTTAGAGGTAGTAATAACGTTAAAGAAGTGGTCACAGTTTAAACACCAACAAACACTAACTTTAGGGAAAATCGATATTAGAATCGAAATATCCAACGATTTTTCTTTACGTGGTTGAGGCGAGACGAGGCTGCCATGAAAGCTTTTATTCCACAGCTGTTTTGACGGAATCGGCTTCTTCATCCCAACGATGCGTGCCAGTAAACGAAGTGCCGACTTCTACAGAACGCATTGCCTGCCAAAACACGGATCATCTTGATTGCGGTGACTGATCAACATACGTCCTGCATAGAAGTGGAGTGAACCTCCACACTCGAGTATTGCAGCCACTCCAGTGGACCCGGCTTGATGTGATAACGAAGATTTCGGGACAAGGAGCAGCTGTGGACAGTGGTCTCGGACCATTGTGGCACTGAAGAAGGTGAAGGCACCGATACGTTAGACGAGCAAAAGTTTTTATAATTAATGACCCATATTAATGAGGCTTAATGGAAGTTGGTTTTGAAGAGATTTTAAATATTTAGCATTGCAACAGAGGCAGTGGAGGAAGAGGCCTGCAATGGAGATACGGTCAACGGCTCATTCTAGTGCCTTGACCGGGTCAAGCCATCGTCCATATACGGTAGCCAAATCGGTACAGAACTTTTCTTAGAGGATAAAAGTCTGAACTGGATACACCATATGTATTGTCTATAATATCTAAGTCATAAAACTAGCTATAAATTACGTACTCCGCAACGACTTTCCCATCCCTCATACAGTGTCCTTGATGCCAAAAACAACGGGTACAGACGCTTGGTGGAATAATGCTTTCAGCGGCACACGTCTCCAAGCACTTCTCGTAACAATACCAACAGAAGTTTTCTCTCTTGAAGAGCTGAGAATTCTGAAAAAAAAACACTTCAGTTCGACAACTCAATCCTGTCAGAAGTCGACGGCTTGATACCACTCGTAATTTGATACGATCGCCGATTTCTGCAATTGACGCCGAGACGTCATGCCTCATCTGGTGACGCCGATCCTGGCAAGAAATGGTCAAAAAAGAAACCAGCAAACAGTTCTTCCTGTCCTCGTCTCCGTATCACACAGTAGATCAACCGAGATCGATTATAGTGTTTGCCATTTTATTTGCAAACTACGTAGGTTAAAATATTAGCAATATCCATCACCGTTTCTACTGTACAACTTGCCAATATTTGTCTCATATTATCGACAATTAAAAGGTTACGCAGAATTCAGTGATTTACAAAGAAATTATGAATCCTCATTACGAGCACTCCTCCCATTCTCTTGACGGCTTTCAAAGCTTCTGCATTGTTCACATCTACCATCTCATGTTTCACTTAAACTCGCTAGAACTCAGCGGCGCACGTGGTTGAAACGCAGCACCCAACTAGGTGGTTCAGCTATTCATAAACGAATTCAGTACTACTCAGCAGAATCTAACATTATTCTTTTTTATGCCAAATATTGCCAATATTCACTCCTGAAGAGGTCATCCACTAATCTTAACATGTTCCTCATCAACTTTTTGCGATAAAGAATAGCAAGGAGAGATTCCTTTCGTAAGCAATCAATACCCTATAGGCCGAAGTAACCTTTCGGATTTATCTTAAGTGGATGCGCCCCTGGGAAGCTATTGTTACACACCGTTACAAGTCGGGGCCTTTTCAACTTATTCACATCCACTCACCCCTATTTCAACTCCATGATCCATCATGAAAACCAAACGCTTGGAGCCGCTGTGCACACCCGATCCTGTGGAACTGGACTGCTAGAATGAAAGTGCAGTAATAATGAGTCGAAAAATATAGGCACATTTATGAAGTTTGAAAACTCAAAGCAACCTCATTCTTATGTGGAAGCGAATCGTTGTTGTTTAACTCGAAGTTGGATGATCCATCGTCCGAATGTGTTCCACGATATTGCGGAAACTCTTTCGTACCGTGAAATTCACGCAGCGCCCGGTAAAGAATTTGTTCCACATGTTCTTGCTAGAAGTATGTCACTTCACTTACACTGGTAAACTGTCAACAGAAGTATCCCGTACCTGACAGGTACATACCATGCAACTACCAACTGTAACTAATCTAAATTTTTGGGGCAAGACTTCCGTCGCAAGCGTTTGCGTTATTCTGCGAATTCACCGTACAGTCACAAATGCTTGAAATCACAGAGAAGTAGTGAGCAACCCCGTTTGCATGCTGGTGTGATGCGTATCGAGCTGCGGTGCAGAATATGTGCCCATTCCCCTGGTGGATTAGCCAAACTGACTGCAGCACTTCTACCAGGAACTCGACTAAGAGAGAGTAAAGCATTGACCACTAGCTGGCTGGCAAACGGCGACGGCCCTAGAAATCTGTATTAGAGGGCTCCAGAGGAAGAAAACTTTGCTCGAGTAGCGAATTAAAAATGAAACAGGGACTCTGCTGCAGATCCTACAACTTCGCACAATTTGTGGTGAAATGACAACTAAGTACTCAAACATAGATAGGGACACTATCAGTCCTGTTACAAGGCTTATTCACAACTTATCGAACAACGGCGCTTATTATAGGCACGGTTCGCGATAATCATTCCCATCACTTTTCAACGCATTAGCAAGCACTCAGATTCTCGCGGAAGCTGACTATATTGTGGACAAGGCAAAAAGGTAAAACAACCAACCCAAGGTGCCGTAAAAACGGGATGTCCGTTCTTTCTTTCCTCGTCACTCGCGACTTCCCTCAACTCGAACTTAAATGAACAGCTATTAAATGATGCCACCAGTATGGCGCAGTCCCATGTTGTTATTCAAACGAGTGCAAAGACACGAAATGAAAACACTCGGAATAGTTTACACGCTGTCCGAACTTAAATTCCTACTATTGAGCGAACAGCGACTATCTTGTTAATCGCGATCTTATGCATTATGTTCAATGCATCTGACAACGATGAGTTTTGGAAATGTCATCTGCATAGAGACCAAACCAGTCTAGTCAAACTAGTCGGTGCAGCAAATACCTCAATAGCCACACAAAATTTCTGATCTTTCTCGTTGTGGAACACAAGTAATAATGATCAGATTTTACTGAAACGATTCAAAACCGAAGAGCAGCACGCACCTCAACTCCATTCCTCGGCACATTGCCCGTCAGACCTTTCGGGTTCGACTCGAAGTGAATGTTTCCGTACATGGCAACTTGATCACAGCCGAGCAACTGGTGCACAAGCAAATTCAAAGAGCAGATCTGTCATCGTTTCGTTGGATTTAAAAGGACCCATCGGTGCTGATCCGCCTACTTCTCCCATCAGTTAGCGTGGGAAAGCGCGCTAATCGTCCGTACTCTCCACCTTCACTGTCGTGTTCTCGTTTCGATTTGACCAACCAATAAGGAGGTCAAAGAATTGCGGTCTTTCCGAAAACCCAATAGCACTTTCGCTGAGAATTGACGAGAGGATCAGACACTTCTTGTAGAAACGATCAGTTTCCTTTCCGGAAACGTACTATCATCGTTTTCGTTTATTTGTTTCTATTTCAATGCACACTTAATTCTTATAGTTAATTCATGCACCTGAGAAACATTGTCCATTCATTTTGTTGCTTCCCTCCTTCAAGTTTCAAGTGACCATGTTATGACCCGTTCCATACCAAGCATTCTATCGGAAGTTACAATATTGGTGCACGGCAAGAGCAGCGGCTAGCGATGCCATGCAATAACACATACGGAGTCTTGGTTCGACCCGCTTAATATCAAGCAGGTCTCTCGTCCTTCGAAGTCGATAATCATCCTTGTTCTTTTTGTGAAAAGCTCCCTGCGATAAGGAATCTTTAGAAAATTATGAAAAAAAGTTATGGACACTGGACCTCGAGAAAATACCAGCTGGTGCATATGCAGCGTTCGCTTGGTAGTGTTGCTTTTCGAAACCGCCCCCTTTCTTTGTGAATCGACAGAAAACCGATTATTTGTAACAGTTACGTGTATGTATCCTTTTTTCATTGATTTATGTTAAACGAGAGCGTGTGGCGGAGTGGTCGAAGGTGCCCTGCAACACACACATGGAATTGATCCCCGTGTCCATGTGCCGCCAAGCCTTCCATCCCTCCGGGCTCGGCAAATTAGCACCAGACCTGTGTCTGGGAATAGTAGCACTGGTTCGATACATCGGTAGGTCACAGCAAGTCATTGTAAAGGCCAGATATGCATTCAATCACCTCCAAACGATGCTTAGTGAAGTCGAGTGAATGGCGCATCCCCAGTGATTGATCAACGCCGACAGCTTTATCCTCTATCCCTTTTTGTGTTAGCTTACCTGCTAATCAAATGGACTACAACAATACGATGATCGTTCAGAATCTGTGTGATTTAAGTGGGTGTTTATTTCATCAAGCGATCACTTGAAGATTTAACTCGAGTGCTCGTTATTTGTGCTTTCATTATCGTTCTACACTCTAGCTGTCTTCTACACGGATCATTGAAATTGGTAGAAAAACCGTATGTAACCGTCGTCACAACCGTCAAAATTTGTAATTGCTCTCTTATTACTGGAGGATTGCATAAATTTGTCAGTGTCGCTTTCATTGTTGCACTATGGAATATATCTTGTTGCTAGTAAAATGATAGACAGCGGTCCTGACAGATCTCTGTGTAGTGAAAATGTTCTCCGAATTGTTTAGCATACTTTGTAAACACGTAAGCCGATAGTGAATCTTGAACACAACTCTTGTTGTTCTTTCTTTTCGCAAGTCTGATGAGCGTTCGTTTACAAGTAGAGGATTTGTCCAGCCTACAGGTATTCCATTTGCCTGGCAAAGAGTTTCTGTTGGGAGCCGTCATTAGGTACAGAAAGAGTGGCTGATACCTATTGTGAGATAGTGGCCTATTGTTGGTTGGCATTTGGACTTCGATTGCGATAAGAACTACCTCTGGAATAAAACCCGATGATTCTTCTGCGGGAATTCTAAGAAATAATTTACAGTTCTGGTGGTTAGCATGCAAAACTGTTGGGTAACTTTGTTGTCTAAGCCGTATTATGCATCGTCTGCAGGAAATTTGCAAGAAATGTGCTTCAAGGGTATAAATGGGTTGCCAACTAGAAGCTCCACATGGAAGGGAAGTCACTCGAAAATACATTGCTTACATACCTTCGCCAGTGACGCGAATGTTAGCAACCGTTGTCATCAACAGATATTTTGCAAACCTTGGCTTGTTCATCGCCATGCTATAGGGTAAAAACTATGACGCCAACTTTTATCGACGTCAGCCTTCAGTTGTGACTTCACCCCTTCTCGAGTAACTTCCCTATTCGGCCTCTATCGCGCACCACAGCCATGCAATGGACTCGGCAAGTTCTGAGGGCACGAACGCTCATAATTTCAGGATGATTCGTTTGTTTACACTCTTTTTGTTGAAGGAATACTGCGCATATCTTAACTACCTTGTAAGCATTGAAGCTATTTTATTTCATCTTTGATGTTTCTGATTTTGATTGTTCTTTTCTTGCATTTAATTAATGACCTTCTTGTGTAAAGAAATGGTGTCTGTCGTATCCAATCGAAGAAAGCATGAAACCCCTCTGAGAACTTCTCAGATGATTATCAAACTGCGGAAAGGCGAAGCAAATGTCGAAGCGAAATGAAGGCGCAACCTCCATAGTATGGTGAACACCACGCAAGACGCACCCGTACAATAATCAAAGGGACAACTCGTTTAAATTGTTGAGCACAAACGAAGTTTATAAAATTGTTTTATTTGGCTAACGTTTCGACCACTTCGTCTTCATCAGAGCCGATGTCCGAGTCGGTGGTCTTGATGTTCGTTTTCTCGATGTGGCGTCTTCGTAGTCGTGTCGAGACGGATCTTTTCCAGTAGAACACCCACGAATGAGATGAGAATGATGAAAATGGATGGAAAAAGATGGTCTAATGGTTTTGAACCTTACTAGCTTTCGTGGAGGCGCGTATAACGCAGTGATCGGAGGCGACATGCAGCAGATAGAATTTCGATCTCCGCGCCCCAGGCCCATCAACTCCTCAATCTTTCTGGCAAACTGTTGCCAGACTTTGTGAGAGAGGAGAGCAGCACTGGCTTGACACGTCGGTAGGTCACCGCCACCGCGAGTCGCTGTAAGGACAAGGTTTTGCATGCACTCAGCTCCAACAACGCTTACTGAAGTTGAATGCACGGCGTGTCCCTTAGCGATCGATCAACGCGAAGAGCTTTTTTAACCCGCTTTCGTACCTTCCGCAAACCAAACTTTTCCATTTATGTGGCTGCAGCTAAATCTCTTTTCATGGTAGTGGTCAAAAATGCTGGACGTTTCGTTCATGCATGTCGGAAATTTGACACTGGCTTCTTTGTTGGTTCTTGCTTTCAAAAGAATGGTCGAGGAAACGGTGGCAGAGATAATCCCCATAGTTCTTGTTGTTCGTCCTATTTATTCTATTAATGCTATATAAGTGCCGTTTGTTTCATTGATAAGGTAACACGAGTTTAATAGAAGACCTTCATTTGGCTAATGTTTTGCCCTTTCTTCACCTTGTTCAGAGTGGGATTGCTCTGAAAAACCCGAAAGGTTAAGGTGGCTTTTAATTTGTTTTCACCACCAACTTTTTCACGACAAGGTATTACGTGAAGTCTAGCCACAACGAGTATAAGATGTATTTATTTATGTGATCTTATAAACTGATCTTCTTAAGCTGATGCGAGGTTGGTACAGATCTTCGTTGTCGTTGTCGTTGTTTTTGATGTTATTGATCGATGACTGACGTTTCGGCGACTTCGCCTTCCTCAGAGCCTGGACGTGCTTTATGTTAGAATACTTTTTATTATTCGGTGGAAAAGAAGGTTAAAGTATTAATGAAGATCAAACTTTCAAATAGACGCCATATTGAACAGAAAGGCCATTCAGCGTGATGTTACGTGCGGGACTGGCCCACACGTAGTTCACGTGGAGTCGCGAGCAAAACACGCCCCGGGGTCAAAATATCATTTTGAAATAGAGCGCCAGGTCACGCGTGATAGTGAGGCATTCGTCCTTCCGGTTCATCTTTGGATTTTTGAAATTTATCCAAAACGCCTCAAGAGTTTTGCGCGTTGATGTTTTTGATTCCTGCGCTAGGATCCGCACATTCACTTCAAAATCATCGCCGTTGTGCTTTTGTGCCCTATGCGTACCTAGAGGGGTGTTTAAACGGATTTCAGCTCTTCCATCTAGATGTTCTTTTATGCGGACACAAAGTGGTCTACCCGTTTCCCCGATATATTCCTCGCCGCATGCATTACATGAGATCAAATATATTATACCTAAACTCATGCAATCCCCGTCTCTCCCGTTAGGACAGATCATACAGTTTTCTGAGATGCACAAACGATCATAGAGACGGTTTCGAGCTAACTGGCGGCGTAGGGTATTGGGTGGGATGTCAATAATCGTTACATAATTTTCAAGACCACTTTTTCTTAAGCACTTTTTAATGGCGTGACTTATTTCATTTGATATGAAGGGCAGCTTAAAGGGGATCCTACTTTCGTCTGAAATATTATTTTGGGAAACCACCTAACGTTTTCCTCTAACCCGAGTGGCTTCTACTTCGTAGCCATTGGAAATGGCAATTTTTCGTGCCAGGTTTCGCCATTCTTCCTTTCCTCTTCTCCTGTACACACATTTTTAGCCGTACGATACATATTTTTGATAAGTGCTTTTTTCATGTGTGAAGGATGAGAGGAGAGGAAGTGGATTAGAATGTTTTTACTACTTGGCTTGCGATACCATTTTGTTACATAGCCACTTACTGAGAGCTTTATTTGGATGTTTAAGAATGGAAGCCAGTTCTCGGTAGGTTTTTCTCGTGTAAATTTTATATACTCTGACTGTCGGTTTAATAATTCAAAGCACTTATCCATCTGTTCTTGTGTGGAACAGACGATGAAGCAATCGTCTATGTATCGACAGTAGAGTAAGGGTCGGTGATCTAAACTGAGAACTGAAGCTTCCACCTTAGACATGAAAGCGATGGCAATGCTTGGTGCTAAACGCTGCCCCATCGCCAACCCTCTAATTTGTGCAAAATATTTTCCAGACCACCTAAAGATTGAACAACTAAGACACTATGTATTCTTTCTTGATAAGCTTACACGAGGTTGATAAATATATTTATTTTCGGCTAACGTTTCGACGTCTTCGTCTTCCTCAG